AAGATGTGTGATTGCATTCTGATAGTCTGGATTACTGCTGTGAATGTGAGTGTCAAGCCAAATGACAGAAATATCTTGCGTCTCTTCAATTTTTATACGATTAAATTCATTTGCTTGTTGAACGGTGGCTGGTGGTGTCTGCTCGAACATATCCAAACTGCCTTGTTTCTGATGTCCAATTGCTGTGAGATCGGATTATTTATAAGGTAGTTATTGTAAGATGTGAGAAATGGTTGTTTGGTAGAGAACGATAAAAGTAATGTGCTCCTTCACGTTTTATGAAACTTGGAAAAAACATTCCTTCTTCTTCCTAGACAAACATTCTTACTCTCAAAATGAATCTCTGACGACAGTAGAAGACGAAAAAGAAAAATAACGACATTTTGATTTTTAAAACTCGTGAATAGAGCGTAAAGCCGCCAAAACACTGTGGTTTGTTTATACAGCTTCATGCATATAGTCAAACAAAAATCGAACATCGTACAAAATCGTTGATTTATTCGTTAAATAACTTTTCGATTTCTCATCGAACATAGAAGTTCTCAGCTGAATCAGCAGCTTCTCCAGTTTCAGTCGAATATAAATGCAGATGTTAAACGCAAATCGAAGTATAAAATTATTTCTCAAGGAAAACATAATTCTATACATGTACGAGATTAGAACTGCATTCAGTTCTAATACATTTTGAAAGTACAATTCTCATCTTTCTAACTTATTTTTGAAGTTAACAAAAACAGTCGAGTATTCATGTGCATTCGAAGTTACATTAGGCAGCTCATGCTCTGATTACGAATTACTCGCACCGAGCTTCTGAAACTTCCGTAGTTCAATAGCAAACAACAGGTAAACGTAGTACTAATTATATATGAGGATGATGAAATTGAAAATGCCGTCAAAAATGATTACAATTTCAAGTTTGATAATCTAAGCGTCTCGTTGTTATAATTGTCTCATTACTTTAGATACGATTGTTGAGTTACGAAAAAGTCATGAGTTGCCTAGTTCGAGTTATATGATAAACGGACATCTGATAGACTAATCTCAGTTCGAATATAAATAGATGTATATCTACAAGTTGCGCTCATCTGTTGGATTCGCTGAACCTTTTCTGAAAGAATTACAAGACTCAGATAAAAACTCTAACGTATATCTCAATCTAATCCGCTTCGAATTAAAGCCACTTTGATGCACATTCTTTTTCTTTTAATCCTTTTTCTACTTTATTCATGTCAAACTGCTTTCAATTCATTTGTCCAAAGATGCAAGTATAAGCCCAGGTAAAAAAATCCGATGCTGGATCCGCAGTATGGGATTGTTCGATCTGGGAAAGGAACACTGTTTCTAAAGATTTACTAATCGACTCTCTTCCCACTATTTACAATCAAAAATCGATTTACTTACACTTATTTTATCTCTTCTAAGCCACCCAAATAAACGCCTGGTCGCTCGTTGGTCTGCCTCCAATCGGCCACTCGCGGCTAGCCATTACATGTCCAACTTTCATTCTTTCATCTAGTTTAAAATCTCCTTCAAATTCAATCAAACCATTTCCTTTCATTCCCTGTTAAAGAATCACCAATGTTGTGCCATTGTGGCTGTCCAAAACAACATTTGTTAGAGGAAGTATTATTTCGAGTGGTTAGCATCAGATAATGTTTGTGTAATATAGCTGTTTATATAATTGTAATGTTATCAATATGCTGATGAGTATGAGTATCCAGCAGACGGACGTTAATCAGCTACTTCGTTTTGTTCTACATATTGCTGCTTCAAACACTATCGCCTACAAAAAATCTTCTTTGAAAAAAGTGGTACTTTTTCTACAGAAAAACTAACACCAGATTCGATATCCTCGACCTCGGTTACCCTTCGGTCAACCCTTACTCGACAGCCAAAAAGAGTTTCATTCTTTAATTAGTAATTAGCTAACCAGGTAGGTAATTGTAATTTCAAAAAAGTAACCTCAGATTCGTAATCCTCAACCTCGGTCACCTGATCAGTGGTCAATCTTTGATCACTATAGATAAATTTCATTGATTTATAATATGCTGCAATCTGATTGGATTATGCAAACAAAACAAACTTTATGCATTTTCATGACTGTATTTATGTCGCCATAACCCTTTCTTTCAGAAAAGGGAACGACCCTTAGAAAATCCATGTTTCGGATCCGACATGGAATCCGATTGGATCCGAGTATAGGATTGTTCGACCTGGGTATACCACTATATCGCTTATACCTCTTTTTATCCTGTGTCTATATTATCATATATAAGATGAGTAAGACGAATACTTCGATATCTGGTATAGGTCTGTGTTTGGATAAATAATTATTTTGTTCCATGTCCGAAAGCCCTGTATATTGATCTGATGAACGAGGCGAAGTTAGGGTTCATTGGTGTTTGTGGAAGTGCTAAGTGCATTACTTTGGTGCTGTATACCGATGTGGCTGATGTAGTGTTAAGTGTGTTTTGAATTTGCCGCAAAATCAAAAACCTTAGCAACTCAATATTATACCGATAATGCACTGTTCTTGATCGTTAAATATACAAAAAGAGCAACATTCAAAAGGCTGTGTGTTACTTCTTTGAGCACGGTTAACTATTACCAATATGAAACAATAGTAAATGATAAGTCAATACTTTGAAGGTATGAAGAAGGATGATCTTTGGAGATTTATTAACTTTCACTACCCATCCGCTGATAACAAGATAATAAACAGCGATAGCTCGACTCAGGATCATCTAAAATGTTTCAAAGTTTCACGCCCGACAAAGGGGAAAGCTTTGCTCAAATGTATTGCTGGAATTCCAAACAGCAAATTAAGTTATCAGTTACATTAAACTTCTCTCTTTGATGCAAATAAGATTGCACAGAATAGTTTAAATCTAACCATGACCACTACGACCACTGAAAACGATGACAGATCTTTTAGAAAACGAAAATTGGAAACTGAAGACCAAGAGAACGACATTCAGTAGGTAACGGTGGTAAACAAGTGATCGGTCTCGCTATTGATTAATCAGTTGTTCTCTATTGAATTGTGAATTTTCTTCTTGTCTATTTGGCTGATAAAATAATCATTTATGTCTGATAATTCTTCATGATGCAGAATAAAGTGTATGAGCAGAATTCGTCTCTACTACACCAAATCAGTCAATGTCCAGTAACTTTGCCTTCGTTTCATTCATTCATTCATTGTTGCCGACTAATCAAGCTCGTATACCTGATCTAGATCAACCAAACTCAAGTGCTAAATATCGTACCTTAGAACAGATATTACGGTATGCTGAAATAAAAAGATTTCAAATGAAACGTAAGATTCTATCGAATTCTTACGTTGCACGATAAATATTTCTAAAAGTCGAAAATATATTATAAAGAAGTTTATTATCAAAATTTTTATTCAAGGTTTTAATGAAATTTTCCCAACATTTGATTTATGTAAAGTTGGATGACTATGAAATGCATCAAAATTCATTGAATCAAGCGCACGTGCAGCGTCAGCTGGTTGTTGAAAATTAACATAAGCACAAACAAGTGATTCATGTGTAGTTATATCACGACAAACACGAATGGGTAAAACTAAACCAGCTTCAGTTACATATGAGTGAAGATCACCTTCAATACTCAATTGTTTTTGAAAGGAAGAGGAAGTGTTCTTATTGAACTTCCCAACATAAAATGAAACTAGTGGATAAGATAGTATTCGATAATCTTCAGTACCGTCTGATGTTGAATATTCTTCTATGACTAATAAATAAGTTCACTTTATATGAAGGATTTAAAACGAATTGTTTAGGTATTGACACTACGATTGAATTTTAATTTTTTTAGTGTTAAAATGAAAAAAAAAAACAATGAATTATGTTCACCTTCATTTGTTTCATTTGGACAAATATTTCATCTTTGGAATCCATTATTATTCGTTTTCAAATCTAAACAAAGAAAAACAATAGTTTTTTATCGATATCTTCATTGGGAATCAATTTGATTAGTTGCTAAATGAAAACCAAATTCTGTTATTATACGTATATGCGACGAACAACAAAGATATATAAAAAGAAACGTAGAATATCTTTGATCATGATTGGACTTTTTCTTGAGCCGATTCATGTCACTGTGTAGCTCAACTGAACTGACACTGGTTCCAAAAATAAAATTGTTCACTTTCCTATCATAGCCCTAAGAATTTGAAAACAGATCTACGAAATGTGCAATTGAATGCTGTGAGTCTCCAAAAGAAAGTGAAGACTATTTTCGAACAGTTTGAAGATTATTTCTCGAAACATAAGAATCATCATCACAATGGTATGACGAACACCGAGGACACATCCTATTCATCGGTACGGAATGTTGCAAAATCCTTAGACTTACGCGATACTAAATAAGTTTAATGATTTGATCAAATATAGCTGGTAACATTGGAACTTCCCACAATCCAGGGAATATTCTTTGTACATGCCGATAAAAGTCTTTATCAAACAGTTTTTTCAACATATTACGAATGAGATTACATGACAGACAACACTTGAAAAAGAATGGCTCTATCATCGTCAATGGCGATCACTTAAATAAAGCATAAATATATATATTTCATAGATAAGAAAGAATAATGACGTCAGCCCGAACCATCAGATTCTCTAAGCAAGCGAATGAAACGAGGATTTACAATTGCTGTTTTATTTTCTCGATATTTCTCGATTGAAAATTTGATTTGTTGCATATGACATCGTTCGAATCTGCGATAAACAAAGAGAAAACAAAACCAAATGACACAACAGAGAAAGACAATTGACAATAGTTAAAAAGTTCGATTTTGCGTGCAGTCTAAAAGAAACGTTTACATATATTTATATGATATCTCCACACTTATCAGTTAGAAGTCAACGGTGAACATACACCCATACGAAAAGAAACATTAAATATGGAAGAATGTAGAACGTAGAAATAAATTATTGTTTGATTGTTTCACAAGGATGATAACAATGTCAGCATTTCTATTCATTATCCGAATGATTCGTTGTATCGATTAATTTTGTATCCAGCAATGAACTGTTAGTTGAGTCATTATCGTCAGTGATCTGGTTGGGTTTGAATTTCTTCGCGGAATTCTTCAACGCCTGTCGTTTATTACAAAACCTAGAAGAGAAGTACATGCTGACAGTTGATCGAAGACTAAATGGCAACAGTCGATTCATACCAAACACGGATGACTTCTCGATCATAATTTAGCAGTTGGGCAAGTGTTGACATATCAATGCCAGATGGATGTGTATTCAATTCAAATGCGTCGTTTAGTTTTTCCAATGCTTGAGGAGTGAATGATGTTCGTCGTTTACGTTTTTTCGTGTTGAGATCTGTTACAAGTTCATGCAAATTGGTCGGACCATTTTTTAAACTTGAAAAGGAAAGCCAATGCTAGATATGATTTTAAAAGTTTAATCGAAGAGAAATCCTACCGATCACCATATTTCAATTCAGCTTCGTGCATCCATTTCTCCAGTACCGGCTTTATTTTGGAAGCACTTTTCGGTGTTATATCGAGCTTTTCAAAACGACATATGGCCGATTGACTGTAAGCTGGACCGCGCGTAACACTCAGTGCTTGACCAACCTGTGTCTGGGTTAAACCTAATGCTAACCTTCGTAATTTGAAAGCTTTAGCAAACTTCTTGATTTCATCTAGATTAATTCCATCGACTGTCGTTGTTGACGTTATCGCTGCTTCGTCTGAAACAATACACATCATGATATGAAAAGAATCTCGAGGTAAAAGCGACAGCCATACTGTTATTCAAAGGCAGTGTTGCAAGTGTCGTTGCTATTGTCGGAGAATTATCTTCATCGTCAAAAGCGGATTTTTCGTTGGTATCCGATAAACTATGTCAAATATATTGTGTGAGTGATATCACAATCGATTCTTCAATGCGTACCTGCAATCGATTGATTCGTTTCGATATTTCATATTAATAGGGGAATTTGCTCTTGCCTAAATGAAATATTGGAATGAATTCTTGGTGCATTTAACTAATTATTTCTTACGGAAATCGATTCTGCGTGTGAGGATTTTTGTGTTTTGTTATTATCCACAAGTGTCGGTATTGCACCGAGTGCTATTTAAAAAGAAAAGACAAACCGGAAGGGAATAATAGCATATAGAGAGATATAGAACAAGAAGAACTTACAAGAATTTTGTTGTTGAAATAGAAGAGCACTATTATTGAGAAGTAATTGTAATGCATTCGTAAGAGGATTATTAGTAAATGATAATAACGGAGGGCAAGTCGCTCCTACAAAAGATATGAAAATGAAATGTTCAGTTGGAAAATACGGAGGAAATTTGTTTACCAGAAAGTAATAATTGTGTAAAGAATTGTTGCTGTTGTTGTGGAGACGTAAGATTGGGGAACAGTGTCGAAAGAAACGGATTCATATGAAGATTTGCTGGCGTACAAGATGTATTCATCGAATGATCTTTAAGTGTTCTCATGATGAAATTGATATAGATTGGTTTGTAAAAACATTTACCTTCTAATTGTTGAGATTTCTTCGAAATTGTTGGAAGTGTCATATGTTTATGTTCTAGAAGGAGATCTAATCTTCATATGCTTGATTTGACTTATCTAGATTTCAAACTCGACTGTTTACACATCTCTTGTGCTTATTTTAACTCGACTGTTTATGTATTCTTATCGCGCGTGTATATGCTCCTCTCGCACTTGCTCGAGAATGTGAAACGCACCACACATACTCTCTCACTTTCGAGTAAGTAAGCACCATCTTCACGCGTTGTCCCATTGGTAATTTGATTCCACATTTTTTTTGTTCTATACTATTTGATGACTACGCGTTGTATTTTATGCGCAAACGAAAAACGATAGATAGGCAACAGCGACGCCGGAACGAACTGAAATATAAATTGACTTTCACTGTTTAGTGCTACATCGATCGAATGAAGTTAAACTCGAACCAGGTGCAATTTTAATTGTGTGTGTATGTATGCGCATATCTATCTCTACACGCATAAGTGAGATTCGCACTCATTCTCATCAGCGAACTACAATAAAAGAGACAAGGCGAGCGAAAAAAGAATCGCGAAAGAAACACATAAATTAAAGAGATTGTTCCAAATATGCAAAAAAAGACAAGAGAAAGAGAGAGAGAGAAAAGGAAAAAAGCTCATTAATATTATCTTGATAACGAAATCGAAGTACATATGTGAAAAGAATGAAAGAATAATGATGATGGTGTTTATGCAAATATGAAGCGAGAGAGAGAAGAAAATTCGTAGTTTTTCTCCTTATTTTGGATAATTTATGCTAAACGCACATCAGCAGAGAAGAAGAAGAAAAAGACGGGAAAAGATTCTATCACATCCAAAATCGATGCGAATGAAAAAAAGAAAGAATATTCACAATTATGCACAATCGACACTATCTCTCTTTTTGCTTCTCTTCTATCTACTTGCTTTGCTTGTCAACGAGCGATTCATATTTCTTTTCTTCTTGTTCTTCTTCTTTTTAGCCTCTTTTGTTATATGTTTCCAATATGTGCAAAAAGAATAAAAAAAAGGAAGGAGAGAAGGAATATTGACGAAGAGAAAANTAGATATGTTAATAAATAAAAAGCATTATAATAATATATATATAGATATTAATAAAATATTCAAATCTAGATAAAGCACATAAAAATAACATTTAGATCGTTTAATTCATTTATTGACACTTCCGTTAGCCTCGATAGAAGTGAGACTGTCTAAATAAATTTTCTCGGACTCATTCGAGATAATTTTACATCTATGATGCGATCAGAAAACAACAACAAGACGAGTTGATGTTTGCTAGAAATGGTTGTCGTTCAAATATTGCCGAAGATATGATAATTATCAATAAAATATGCATCTAGAAGACAATTTGTTTCAGATCAGAAATGGTGAGTAACTAGAGAATGAAAGATAATATCTCTGTATAGGAGAGAAAATGTTGTGCCATTTACCTGACGGCTGACTAAATCATTTCACATTGAAATGTTCACTTGTTGAGTACAGTTCATTAATTTTCAAAATAGTTTTTACGTTCATCAAATCGGAGAGATGAAATATAGTTGTTGATGGAGTTCAACACATAAGATGTTGCACAGTTATCAACAGAGTCATACGATCGTCAATGAGTTACTATAAGAATTTTTACGATTGACAAATACCGGTACAGATGTGTTCTGTCGTACCCGAATTTCAATTTTATTAAAATATGTGCAATCCTATTTATAATAACTGTTGCCTTTTATTTATCTAACAAATAAATAGAAGGGAAATCTGTTTCGTAGAACGTCTTCGCTATCTGTTTTCATGTCGGCAGACCAGTGACAATTTGTGTATAATCATATGCGGAACTACAGTTTAACGGTACTGATGACGATGAGGACATTGTTTGAAGAATCCATTGATGATAAGCTGACACACGTGTATAAATGCCGCCACTATTTGCTCGACTACAGCCATCACCAAAGGATACAATACCAACAATATACCATCGATTGTTTTTGTACAACATCAATGGCCCACCTGAATCGCCGCGACCTGTTCGATGTGTCCGAGAAATAGAAAAAAAAATGATGAACGAAATGAATTGAAATTCTTACAAGCATCTTTTTTCCCATCAGACCAACCCGCACACAGTTGATGTTCAGTAGACTCAATCGATAGGCAGAGCGAAGTTGGCAGTATTTGCAAATCTGCATGCATGAGAGTGTTCAAACTTGAACTGTATTCAGCATTCGAACCCCATCCAGCAACCCAAACTCGAGTACCATTCTCAATAGTTTGTTCGTTCTCTGGCAAACAAATTGTATCTACCAATGAGCTTCGTATAACTGGCTGTTTTAATTTTAATATGGCTATATCATGTAAAAGTGTATTGTGATTAAAACCGGGATGAATACATGCGTGTTCAAGTGTGAATGTTCTCGGTTGTCTTGTGTTTTTGTTATCACCATGAACAATATCATTTTCCACATTGATCACATCAAATGATACACGATATGTATCTTTCAATGCTGATTGATAACGATTGGGTAAACGCATGGTATCAAATGTCGGCAGTTGATTACTAAGACAATGCGCAGCAGTCAATAAGTAACGATTGGCAATTAAGGTCGCAGCACATTTTTGTGTAATATTTATCCAATGATTAGCATCATCACGAAAGTACACGCCCACAACAGCCATCCACGGCCATTGTCCACGATAAGATTGATCGCCATTGACTATACGTGCTTGGCGTCGATTGACTGGTAAACCGCATTCTGTGCACTCACCAGTATCGCTCTTGGTAATATTCGATGTACAGCAATCAAAGCGATCTTTTGTTAGTATGCATGAGCGACCCCGCTCGCATATCGATGGTATTAATTCACACTCATTAATTTTTGCACATTGCCCATTTTCATACATGATGTGACCTGGCAAACACTAGAAATACACTCGTAAGATCGCAATACAAAGGTTGATATTTATTGGATTTCATACCTGACAATTGTATCCATGCGATGCCGAGACAACACATTCACTATGTGGTCCACAAAGATCATTTTGCTCAGCACATATATTTCGTGGTATGCATTCTTTATTGTTTCCATGATTGTGTAAACATTGACAATAGTATCGTCCTGGTAGGTTGATACATGTACTAGTATTCGTATTACATGGATGATAGATACTACACTCATCTATATCAACACACGAGTCTTGATCAGGTTGTCGAGTAAAACCGAATCGACATCGACATATATAACTACCAACTGTGTTTATACATTGCATGTTAAGACCGGTACAAGTATGAAATCCAGCACCATTGAGACATTCGTTTCGATCGATACATGTACATGACGATGTCAGTAGATTCCGTTCGTAACCATTGGGACAAAAGCATGATGATAGACGAATGCCGAGATTCGTAGTCAGAAGTAGAAGAAGAATTGCGATGAGAAAGAGAATAAGAATAAAAATAAAGAGAAATAAATATCGATATCGATATCGATAGAAACAGGTTTGTTTTGTTTGGTCATCTATCGAAGTTGAGGGTGTGTAGGTCGGACGAACTGAGAATGAAACATTCGCTTGGCTTGACGATATTGCCGTACGATTGGTACAGGTTGATTCATTTCGAACAAGATTCAGAGCATAGAGTTGATAGAATAACAATGACCGAGAAGGTTCTGTTGTAGGTATAGCGATCGACTGTGTTCGAAATGGTAAACCATAGAGACTACGGCGAAAATTTCTATACAAACAATAGACGTTCGTATCAATGTAGAAAGTTTTTTTGCATGTGCATTCTCATTAACTGGATTCCTAATGTCGCTTTTCTCTACATCTAAGCAAGAAGATACGAGGGATGATGTGTATATAAATCAAATGTTCCTATTAACTCTTCTGTTTTACATGAAGCAAAGAAAACCTAATAATCTATTCATTCGATTAAAATACTTTTAGATGCCGTGATTTTTATTCTCATAGACGAGTCCATTCTAATTATAGTATGTCATAAAATGAATAATAAATGGAAACAAATGAGTTGACTCCTCTATTCCTTAATATTTTCGACTGAATCTATTCTTCAGCTGCACAGAACTTTTTCTAATCTACATGCAAAGTACGTTCTCAACTCGAATTACATCGATTGAAAGTAATTAGCGATGTCATTGTTCGTTATTAACAGGATCGATGAACATAAGATTAATTATTTCGATTCTTATTAATAATTTGTCAAACTACAAAATTGAAGGCTCTTTTGTCTTGAAACATTTTCCAGACATTTGTTCGTCTGCCCTTTTTTCTTTCTACGACGCTACATTTTCATCAGCTATCAGAGATCATGAAAAAAAAAGAATTTTACCTGCGTGTGTCTCCTGAAACTTTCCTTATAGGTATGGATACGTCACTATTTCCATCGAACAACGACGGATCATCAATGACAGTTTCATTGGACTGATTGGCATCGTTTTGAATCTGACCAGAAACCTCTTCCGTATTCATCCATTCAGCGTATGTAAGATTCGTGCATGTAACAATGAAAACTGGTCATTTATGTCAAATTGTAAGATGACAGTAGCCGAAGATAAATATCACCTTCGACGTACGCGTACAAATCTTAAGCCATCACACTATTAGGATAAATATAGAGGTAAAGAAATCGCGTCAGTCGATGTCGGCGATGTTTGTAGTATTATGTATTATGTTTGTACACATCGATGACAAGAAATTTGTAAGAAAGAGAATGTTACATAAAGACATCGAAGAAGATTCTTCTTAAATAGATTAATTGTAAATACTATCGATGATTCCTCACGTTTTTCTTTCGGGGATGATACAGTCTATAAACATTGAAGCTTCACAAGACTTGATTGACTTTGTCGTATTGATATGATTAAGGAAAAATACTGCATTTCATCTGATGATTCGATTCGGGATTGAGTGCAAGAAAAATCAGGATAGTGCAGGAAAATAACAAGCAATTCTCTTGTTTGATTGTCAGAATGTTCATATCAACGTCATATTACATCAAAGTGATTGTTAACATCTATCTCTTTACATATTCATATCTATGTTGATTGTCAGAACGAGAAGTGAAAGAAGAGGGTGAGACTAATACGACGCCAGAAAAAGATAAAGAAAACGACGAGGACGACGGCGGCAAAGTAGAAGAGAGAAAACTTTCCAGCGTAGTAATGACTGCCAAGCAAATTTTTGTTCGATTTTCTTGCCAGATAGATGACACGATCTTTTAAACTACTTACCATCTGTTAGTTGTAGTAACTCATTCACTCAGCACAATTTCATATTTTCTAGTTAAAGTCATGCGCTAAGAAAAGTGTTGTACTCAGGTATGTATGTGAAAAATGGTCCTGCCATGTCATTATTCATTATATTCGCGTGAGAATAGATGGATGACATAGGCTTTATTGTGAGACAAACTGTTTCCGCGTTCATTGCCTTACATGACTGTTCTATTTGCACTATTAACGTACTAACTTTTGTCTCCCAACGTTTTCCGAAAGAGAAAAGCAAGTATTATTGCTTTATATTACTGCTCATTATCACTGACAAATCTTTCCATATCGTGCAAATGACTAAGTAAACTCTTCTTAGTGTTCATACGTAGTGTTGTTACTTTAGATGGAGTCATTTTTTCGTCGAATGTCGTTAATAGTTTCGAAAAATAGTACCAAATCAACGGGCGTCAATGAAAATGAACAAGAAAATAGCGAAGAAGATTACGGCCGACTAAGAACTTTTCGTGAGATGCAGGAACGACGGAAATCAGCACCTGATATTCACAAACGCGCACCTCCAACTAGCAAAGTACCCATGGAATCGGAAAACAATTCTTGGTTAAGTGATCCAATGAATGTAAAGAAACTAACAACGGAAATCAATTTGAATCTTTTTTCACGTCCACATTCGAATTCAACGGGTAAGTTCGAGTGAAAAAAACGTATGCGTCGATAAACCGTCCATGTCATTTATACTGGAAAGGTCAACAATGAATTGCATTTTCAATGAAAAGATCTTCTACGAAATATCTTCTCATAAAAATAGAAAACTATGAATTATGAATTGAATATGAAGAAAAGATTTTTAAATCTATGACTTCCTGTCGATCAACATTTAATGTATTATTTCTATTTCTGCTAGTTGTCCATTGTTAGTCAGTAAAAGAGTTTCTCTTCTAACACAAAAGCAAACAAGATTGTTCGTGCTTCGAGGTTAAATTTATTTTGCAAGAATTTTGACGAATGCAATAAGGGATAACGTATTCCAACGTTTTTAAGGTTTCTTTCTCGTCTCTTATGTTCATCGAACGCTACCATTCGGCATTCTTCTAATCGAAGCGCGTGATTTGTTCTCTGTTCTTCTTCTTCTTCTTTTTCTTTCTCTTAATCAGCGTAACAAAAATCTAATTTCTGAGAATTTGGCTTTATTCAAATGAAAAATCACGTCTTGACATGGGCTTCCAAGAAAAGGAGAAAGAAAAACTTTATAGTTGTAAACATATCTTAGCTATTTGTAAATAGTTGAAGTGCACTTGTATTGATGAATAAATCCGTGTGATACGCCAGGGTAGAATCAAGGAACATTCCTTCTCGGAAAATCATGAATGAATACAAAATTGCTTTTCTTTCCTTTACTCGAGATGAATTTCTGACAAATTAGTTACTTTCTTCAATCTTTTGAATTCATAAATATAAAGAAATCCCTCATTGCCAGAGCTTAGATATTTGATATTCTCTCCACCATGTCTACGTTCATTCACATGAGTAGACGATGTTCTTCACATTGTCAATCAACAGATACATAAAAAAAATGGGTAATACAATGTACAATGGAACCGTTCTCTTTGATTGTTTTCAATCGGAAATCGAATGATTGAAAGTATGTATTCATTGTGAACAATATGACGGAATTAAAACTAGCTTGTTAAGAAACGATATTGATCTTTATTCGTTGTTATCTTGCCGATCTTTGATCATGGTTAAGTTTTTGAAGTCGACTATTGTTTTATATGAAAGAAAAAGGAGGTACTATCAAATATATGAATCATAAAATAAAACAAAGACAGGAAAAAATCAAGGCGAAAAGAGCGAAGAAAAAAACACACACACACACACACACGCACAGAAATTATTGTTTCTCTTAGCCAAGACTCGGCTATTGAGCCAGTCGCCTTCTTCAGAACTATTCAATGTGTTTCCTATATGGTTACTTCTGTTATTGTTCCAACGGGACACAGAGACAAAGAGAAAAAAAAAGAAGTAGTAATCAAGAAAAAATATAGTAAGAATAAGCCATATAGGAGAGGGAGAGAGAGAGAGAGAGGAGGGAAGACGAGAGCAAAGGGAATAATCAACATTTTTGTTTGTTACTTATCGACGACGGTTTACACCTGCGTGACTACGTCTATTGAATCAATCTACTCATGCGTTTTCTAGTTTTTACGAATAGTCTCTATATTTTATTTAATTGCAATATGCTCATTCCTATTAATGATTAGTTTACATAAAATGAAAACAAAATAGAATTCTATTTTAATATTTCTCGTGATATTGTGTAACGCAAGACATCGTAGACAACATATGGCTAAACTGGGTTCGTTTTTTCGTCGCTTTTTTAACTCGTTTTCATCTGATGAACACCATCAAACGATGACTTCAATTGAACCACAATGCAACATTGTTCTCATCCCTCCACCATCATCGTCATCGCCGACAAGTTTCACTACACATAAGACAACAACAATCACTACTCGTTCATGTACAGTATCACCACAATCATCTCCACAGATCACGATAAAACAAACAATCATGAACGTCGAAAGAGTTACTACAACAACGAATTCCAACTATCTTTCTTCCGAAATTAATAAAACTAATGTTCGACGTTTAAGTGCACCTCTTCTCATTCAATCATCAACAAATCAACATCAATCACAATTTCCCTCGACAATTGTTAACGAACTCACGGAACAAGCACTGATATCTTCATTGCATCGTCTTTCGATTTCATCTGTACCGACAAATGTTCTCAATCGCAAAACTAGCCAGTCCAGTTTAAACAACACTCCTCTCGCTAGCGCATCCACAAATGTTTCATCACGACCCGACGTTCGGTCATCGTCTTTCAATTTAACTCCATCATCGAGCTCGATGAGTAATAATCTTGTAGGAAACAATCATTCGCCATCATCCGGTAGGTCAATCATTGTTTGTTTTATTTTATTTAAAAATTCCCATGTTCAAACTGGTACTCAGTCTTTTATACTCTATTGGTACGATTTTTTTGTCAATGATGTCAATCAAACAAATATGATTTGTATTTATAGTAAGGAAAAAGAACGAAGGCGAAGACGCCGAATAAGAAAAGAGTGATCATTTCTCATTAGATAGAATCAAAACTGATCGCTTTTCTTCGTACTCGGTTATTCTTGTTATATTTTATATGCATCGTGTAATCTATGTGGAGATCTAATTTATAAAAGAAGATGGAAATTTGTACGATGTCAACGGACATTGATTGAATGACGTCTATCATTTGTATTGTTCTCTAGTTTCCTTCTATGGTGCTTTTTTTNCGCATTAGCATTCAATCGAATAGCTCACCAACACACAGTAGTGCTATGAAAGATACTTCACCAACCGGCGAGCCCATCGTTTATAATCATTCAGATCGAAAAATGTCATTACCCGCAAGAGGACGACGTCCATCTATGTTTGATCCTATCGATCCAAAAGAATTGCAACAGGCTTTGTATGCATCAGCAGCTGTAGTAAGAAACCAATTTGTCTTAAACAAACCAAAATACGTTGTCACTTATAGAATGCATCAGTTCCATCGATATCCGACGAGGAAATTCATCCCAATCGAGCAATATCTCATATAAAACTTATTTATGATCGTGATGGTGAACATATCTTTATCGATAGTTTATCGTTTGAAAACATGCAACTGCTCGATTCATTTATGAGTTCGACTACAAACATCAATTCGTCTGCAGGAGTTAGTAGCAATACCAATGGAAATAATAATGATTTTATTTCCTTCTACTGTCGCTTTCGCCTATGTCCTGAACGGCGCAGTTTATTTCAAACAGACATTATTCGTCATCCACGTTCGCAATCATTCCATATCTTTGATTTGAAGGAATTACACGATATGAATTTATCACCTGATCAACTGTCCAATCATTCAATCGAAATGATTTTGTATAAAGTTGGCACAACTAAACCAGCATATAAAGATATTCGTATTGCTTCTGTTAAGTATGACCTCGAAGGTTTAGTTGAAAGTGATGAAATCTCCATGCGGAAACCACTTGAAGAATGTGATCCAGCATTGATGATACAGGTAGATTCCAAATAGGATTTTCTTTTTATAACCTACAGTAAAACTGGCCTGCTATAATTCGTTTTAGGATCCAGATTTAGGCAATTTATTAGTTTCATTATCTTACTTACAAAGTGCTGCTAAATTAGCTGTTGTCGTACTTGAAGCAAGAAGTCTACGACCACTTTCAATTGAAAGTAAACCATTTCCAGGTAGAGTGGATTTTCTCCTCCCAACGTACAAATTCTTCATTCATTTGTCTTATATAGAGGCGTGTGTAAAAGTCACATTGTACGATCGAAATGGTAAGAAACTTAAACGAAAGAAAACGAGTGTACAAAAAGCCTCTGATTGTCCAACATTTAATGAAGAACTTGTTTTTGAATTACGTCGCGATATTGCCCAAGAAGTCATGATTGAATTACGTGTTGTACACGAATCCCTATCCTATAAAGAACAACTTGGATCAGTTACATTCGGTCCAGCTATTGTTAACATTACTAAAGGATATATGACACAAGAAAATGCATATTGGTCAATGATTTTGTCGGGTGAATCTCTCAATGCGCAATGGCAAATATTAAAAATGCCTGTACGAATTGAAGAATCCAAGTAATAGAAAGCACGAAAAAACAACCAGAACATTTTTTGTTTGTCTGTATATCAATGTGGTGTTCAGTCACATATTGTTCCTATTGGATGAAAGAAACGAAAACATATTTATTCTACGAAATCTACAATAAATAGCATTTGGTCTCGAGCACACAAGTTGAAGAAACTTTTGATATAAAATCGAAAAATCATCATTTGTTGATAATTTTCAACAGGATTTGTTTAATTTCGAATAAATCAATGAAAGTTAAAAACAAAATGAAAATTTTGTTTGAATTCAAATACAATATCAAATATAATTATAATTATAATTCAATTAATTTTGCAACTCATCTGAACACAAGTACACCCGATTAAACCTGTTCACGTAGGTTACCAAACTCTTTTTTACTAAATTGCGAAAGAAGCAACATTTGTGTATCGAACAAGAAACCTTTGTCAATGAATACAAAACGTGCGACTAATTGTGAAACCATAGAAGATGTGTTGGCGCACTGAGAAAGTACACACATAGATTTTTAGCTAGAAAATAATAAACCCTTGAGAACGCAGGATATAAAACGAAATATTCTCCGTATAATAATAAACGTTCTTTATTGAAAAGTAGCTGACTCAACCCTTCCCCGTAGTAGGCTAAACCTTTTTCTAGAAAGCATAGAATATTCTACCCATGGACGTCGAGTAATGATTTAATTATTCAAAAGGGATTATGCTATTTCGAGGAAAGTAGACTGATATACGTATCCACTCGAAAAGTGGTATAATCAACCTAATGACTAATAGTGAAATACCCTTTGAACTTCGATAAACCCATATGTTACGAAATGCTTGGAGTGCTCAGCCCTACAAGGATTGATTACTTTGGCATCAACGCTTAAAAAGTTTATTAGCAGAGTTCTTAAGAGTAGGAGTAGATTATTATGCTGATTTTTTTTCTGTGTACTGATTTCATCGTGATCATTGTTTTTTCCGGCTGTGCCGCTCCGTCTGTTTCGTTCGTCATTATTTGATATCTGATTCAGTTTTGTTTTTCTTTATGTTGGTTTAATGTAAGTGTAGTTTAAATAATATCACTTGTGATTAATGTGTTGTCGCGATTCTTTCTGTTTTTATTCTGCTGAAATATTTTTGTTTTTGAAGCGTTGTTTGCTTGGAGATTGACTTGCCAGGGTCGCCAATTGTAATGATTTTCTCGTTTCGCTATTTCGCTTTTGTTTGTTTCCTAAATGATCTCTCCTCTCACATTTCCTCCATGCATATATATATATATCCCATGGTTTGACCGCTGGGTGAACAAAGAGAATGCGGAGGTGCTATAAGATTGGTGGTGACATGTTTGAGAGAGATATCATGTGATTCATCACAAGCTTGATTCAAAGTTCGCTTAAAACCATCGTTTGAGCAGCATGTATTTTATGAAACTTTCAACAAGTCAATACTTCTATTCTTAAAAAAAGAGTCGGCTCATAATAACAAATATTCTCAGTAATGTAACAAAAAATAGTTGAAAACAAATCTGTTCACAAACACCGTCAGTTCATTTTACAATGACAATGGAATATGTATCATCCGAAAACAGCGCGTTACACAATACCACCATTACATTTCAATAAAAATATGCAGTGCATTGAAGACCTCGCTACAAATGCTTTTTGACTTGACTTGAATGCATATGAAATTTCAAGTAAAATCACACATCAAAATGGAAATCGCCAAATCAAAAATGGCTTTATTGGCCCATCTCTGCTCACGAATAATCGAGTAATCTCGCTCTTCAAACGACATCAATTAAACTTCTTACAAATTATTTCAACTATCTAATTCTTTCAGTTTTCATTTTCGACCTAATTCGTCATATAAATATCTAACCGTCGGCCCGTCTCGCTCTCGCGAATCACTCATGCCTAGCCACCTCTATGCCTACTCTCAATGTATAATTCATTTTTATCTTCATCCAAAGCCTACCTGTGAGTTCACTTTCAATTTGCCCAAGAGGTATACGAAAAAGACTAACGGCCACGACTAGATTGAGCTCATTCTAACAATGAATTGAAATAGAATAAAAATCAAATACTATCGAATGTAACAAATGTGACAATGTTGAGAATTATTCAAATGAAATCTTTTCAAAACTAGTTAGATAAAGCTCATCCATTGTGAAAAAAGCAAGTTAATTCAGATTTTGTTGAAGAATACGAAGAAAATAGTCGAATTTTCCTCAATTGGGTTGAAAGGGCAAAATGAACATCGACGGATTTTGAGTCTAATCAATCAGTTAGAAGAAATATTCAATATTGTGTTAATTTTAAACAATAACCAGAAATTGTTGACCAAAGAATCTCTTTGAAGAAATCTTAAATAGATTTTCTAGGATTAAGCGATACTTCGTGTTGACATTCTTAATTGTTTCCTTCTTATTCGATAAAGCCCCGCGAACAAATGAATGCTTTTAGTATTGAAATTTGACTTTTGACTAGAAATTCTAAAATATTTTTTAACTTGTTTCGAGAAGTTTTCTTGATGGATTGTTACTAATTATCATCGATTGCTTCATTGATCTCCTTTTTCATTTCTTTTCTGTGAAAACTATTCTTCTTTCTAACAATTTCTTTGTAAACCAATCCAACTAAATTCTTTCAAATACAATTTCACTGACTTTTCCAAAGTAAGAAATTGTTTTGTTTGATGACGATCGATATCTGATACGTTTAACCCTTGACTATACCCAGGGATAGAAAAAGAACGAGACCTATATATTAGAAGTGATTACATGTTGTATAGGAGGCGAATATTGAACCGTCAGATCATCTCGATGCACGATTCGATTCCAGACCTTTCGTCTTATTTTCTTTTCGAAGAATTTTCTCTCATGTCTATTCATTTTATTTTCTATATCGTGCAGTCATTCATGTCTTCGTCGAATATGAAATCGAGTCAATCGTATTAGTTTCGCCGTAATGGCCAGCAATCATGTCAACCAACAGTAATGATCACGGTATATACCTGGTAATCTCAAGATTGTCTTTGCAGTTTTAGACAACACGATTCCATATGAGTGAACTACATGGTCTAGTGGAAAAATCAACACGGAGAAAACTAGCAAGGTCAGTTTATCTTAGTTCTACCGCAATACCAGTTTATTCATCGATCTCTTTTTTTAGAACTGGCGGAGGATCTAGCTGAGGTCGCTAAAGTATGTGGGAATTTGGTCCGAATTGAACTCAGTCCCTCCAGCAATTTCAACAATTATTTATGTTTCATTGCCTCGTATGACTTATAATCTAATCACTGATAACATCAAAAAGAAATATTTGTTGTACCCAGATCCATCATTCCGGCAGGAATTATGTGGGAAATATCCGATCAGTTCCTAATCGTTTCCGACTCGAAGTTTGCAGGAAACGGTTATAGAATTACTGGAACCTACTTTTTAACATCCAGCTGGAACCGGCGGCAAGGAAGTCGTCGGAAAACAAACTTAACCGGCCGGAACCGACCAAGCGATAATAACCTGGGTAGATACGAAGAAATCTCCGCAGCCGAAAAGCTTAAGACGATCATGAGCTGGAAGAGTATGCTGAAGGTCGATCAATTCATAAATTTGTCCATTCCAGATTCGCCACATCATGGAAAATTTCGTGATCGTCGATATTCATCATTATTGGCCGACGACAGGAGATCAATTCATTCTTCACCCCTTCGCATTGTATTTTTCGTCAATTATATTCCACGACAAAAGAGAGTAAATCATTATCTGAACGTAGATAACGATTGAAATAGCTTACAACGATTTGATCTTTTTCTTTTCCTTGTGTTTCTTTGTTCGATTTCTTCAATTTAACAATATATTCTGTCTCTCATCCATCGACTTGACGATAAAGACTTAGAGGATTTTTCATTTGAATGAAATATTTCTGAAAGCAAAAAGTAAGAAAAAGATGACAATGCCAGTCGATCGTTGATTACCTTACTGCAAGGATTTGATCAATACTCGATTTGATAGTGGAGATATTTCGATGATTTTTATCCGTGAATATCTTTGTGATGATCTTTTGATAATGAATATTCAATATAATCAAAAGATTCTTCGAAGAAAACTCGAATATTCGATCGAAATTCTTTCATCCCTTTGCCATGTTCAACAAATTTAAATATCGAAGTAGAAAAAGGACTAATGCTACTTTGCGGACACTTTTTTACACCATTTAAGAAAAAACGTCCGCAAAACAGAAGACACGATAAAGTCATCTATTTTTCATCAATTTGTTGTTGATAACGTGTTGTATATGTACAAAATATTTCAAATGAAAATTTCAATTTGAAAAATGAATCAAATAAAAAAGATCAGCATTGCCTTCATCCTCGCGTTAGCATTGATATCTTGCTCGAATATCGATGAACAGTTGATGTTCTCTCGTCTTCGGTTCGCTTTGCTTTGAAATGAATGAGAAAAGGCATTTTCGATTTTAATAATTTATCGATAATCTCGATGAAAAATGCTCTGCAAATACTCGTCATTATCAAATGTCAGTGAGAGATTATCTTCTTAATCATCTCAAAGCAGATCGATTAACAGAAGAAATTCTCATTCTTCGAGAAAAATCGATTTTATACCTTTCTCGTTAACAACTATTAACAGTATGGCTTTTTACATTTCACAATAAACATACTATTCAGCTCGCATACGTACTACGTGATAGTTAAACATAGCATTAGTAAAGGAGAACCTCGCAAAATACATAACATATTGCTCTAATACACTCTACATTTAATGAAAACTTGAAGCAACGAAAATTACAACGTATCAAAACGCAATTTGAATAGTGTAAGAAGATTTTTTGTATTATTTCTGTTGACATGATGCTGGCTTATGCATGACAAAATGATGTGTCGAATCTAGGATCGTAAAAGTTTTACAAACTGTAGTGTCTCAGACCGTACCCCTAGATGCAGTTTTTCACGAGCTCTCATTTAGTATAAAATTGTTGGTGGTACTATCTTTTC